CTTAATACATGTAATTATCATTGTTTACACTTCATATTTAAAACCATATTCCCAAATAGTCATAAACCTAATTCTAAATTCCTTTCTATAAGGGAGTCTCTATATGCATCATAAAAGATAAATACATCACCTTCATGAATAAAAAAAAAGAAGAAGGAAAATAGTTAGATTAAGCATCACACAAAAAACAGTTAGATTGTACCTCTCATTTCATTTTCATGCTCTTCAACTCTAATGTAGCTGATTGTATCTATGGGTTGCTCTCCAATATTAATTGCAAGTGCTTGGTCTGTCGTGCATTCTGCTTGTTTATCTATTGTTGATGCAACAACTTCAACTCCCAATAATTGAGAATTTGATGGAAGAAAATTTTGACTACTTTGTTGAAAAGAAGTCTGCTATAAATACTCTTCAAATTCTGTAAGTAAATCTGATCCTGTTGTAATCTTTGTATAGTTTTTCTGCTCCATTAATTGTTTGCTTGTGTTGCCGCCGTTCTTGCATCAAAGTTTCTTGAGATAATGACAAGTAAAAGAAAATTATTTCTTGAACTTCATATTATTTTAAATGGAGTAACCTTAACTGCAGTTTTTGTCTTCCATCAATTGCTTGCTTGGGTGCTGTCGTTCGTGTAGCAAAGTTCCTCGGAACGATGACAGTTAAAAAAAATTGTTTCTTAAACTCTATATTCTGGTTTATTAACTTACTTAAACTCCATATTCTGGTTTATGATTTTAGTTATTATATGATCGAAATTTCGTGCTCATAAACATTTTGTAGGAGTATCTTTTTATTTTTTCCCATTCATTAAGTGTTTCAATTTACTAAATAGTTTTAACTGCCATGGTTTAACTGTGAGCAATGTGTTTTAACTTGAATCAATTTATTTTAATTTTTATTATATATGTTTCCCTCATCTTTATCTATTTAAAAAAAAAAAAAAGAGATAAAATGTTCAAAAAAATGGAGATAAATGTGTAGAACTAAGTTACTTATTTTTATCTAGAAAGGAAATTTTTTTTTTTTTTTTACGAAAGGAAATGTATCAGTTTAAATGTTCCATCCATTTTATTCTTTTAAATTTCATTTTTTAGATTATTTTATATTGACTTTTTAAATATTATGTAATTGTATTAGATACAACACTAATGCCATTTTATTTCATATTATCCAAATAATATTAGAAGGAAAAAAATTATAAATAATCATAATTATCACAAACTAAAACATAGACGTATAATATTAACAGAAATTTATAAATAAAAGTTCCAATATGTTTTCATTGACTGAAATAGAAAATAAGTTGGAATTAAAAAATTTAATATAATAATATTATCCTAAAAGAAATAGATAACAACTGGATTATCTTCTAACTTTCTTTACTTCTTATTCCTTTGAAGTCTTCAGTTTTTCTGCAAAGCACAATAATTAAAGTTTTAGAATATAAGAGGAATATATTTTTTTATTCAAGTTATGAAAATAAATTTAAATAAATAAAGTTTCTTACTTTTTTTTGAGTATTGGTTGATATCATCTCTTTGTACATTTTTTGCATCATTTTTTTTAATTCTTTCTTCTTCAATTCCTATTTGTTTTTCATTGTTAAATTCATAAATAGAAACTGTCAATTTGAATTCTTTAAAGCATAATAGGAAATGTGCTTTTTAATATCATGTCACTGTTAAACATACCAATTGCTACCGGTCAACGTTACCAGTTCTTTTGTTGATGTCAAATTATCTTCATTGATGTTGCCGAACAGGTCAGCACTTGATTCTTGCTTCTCATTTTCCCTATAATACACTTGGAGACTGAATTTATAGTGCTCATATTAAAAAACAAATATATTATAAAAATTATAATAAGTACATATAAACACAACAAAGTAAATACCTTTTCATCTTTTCCTGATAGTCATTAGTCATAGATGCATTATAAAGCTCAGATGATTGATTGCTAAACTCCTTGTTATTATTTTCATGCAAATCATCCAGTTGCAACCCCTTTCTGCTTTTAGAATTGAACTTTGAATTAGAACACTTGTTTTATAAATAGTAAATAAATTTATACTTAGTGCAGCACCATACCTTCTCTGCATAATCATTTCTGAAACGACAAATTTAACTTGATCAACTCCTAAAACGATAGGAGGCACACTGAAATATATATACAAATTTTTAATTTTCAGTTAAATACTTATTATCAATTCAAATATCTTAAAAACAATAAAAAGAAAAAGTCAAAACAAACCTATGTTTCTCATTTAGTTCTTTAGACTCTCTCAATATTTCTTTCCCCTTAAGAGAAGTACTACTACCAGCTTCCTCATGATTTAGGCCACTACTTAAAATTGGTTTTACAGATGCTACAATTTGGGTAAAAAAATCACTGCCATAAACACCATTAAACAAAAAATTTTATTACATTAAAAAGAAAAAGAAAAGAAAAGCAGAAGATAAAAGTGTAAGGAACTATAGTTTTGATTTAAATTTCAACAGAAAATGGAAAACTTAAGGAAATATTCTCTACCATATGAATTGCAATTAGAGTGCAAATATAAATAGAATTCTATTTTTTTTTTTTTTTGTCAGTTTAAAAGGCAAACTTAAACCTAAAAATTCTTCAGCTTGCCTTGGTTCCACGTAACAATGACCCTAAACTTCTAATATAGGTTTATTAACTCTCTATTATAAGCTTAGAACATAAATATGCTTTATGTTTTTTGTTTTTGAACACTCATGACTAACAA